CAAAGAAAAATCATCTAAAAAAATGAGTTCACGTGTCACCTCTGACACGTGTGTCATAGGTTCGCCATCACTGGTGTATGTTATAGTGACCGGTCGGATGGGTGGAGGGACATTTAGCATATTAGCCTTTTATATATATAGACTAGTGGCCCGGTGCACAAAATTCGTGTACATTACAAGGGGATTAATTAGAGGAAATATTTTAATACTGCTATTTGCCCTTTATGATAGAAGTGTCAGAGATGAAAGAAAATTAGCCAAATGCATATGAAAATCTCCCTCCTGTCAGAGTCTGGGGTGTGCCGTAGGACCCAGAGTCAGGTCCCCGCCCACCCATGCGCACCTTGAAATCGCATGAGATCCAGATCCAGCTGGCCCCACCGTCAAGCCCGCAGGGCAAGGGGTGCTGCTTCAGGTCCCCCATCAAGCCCCACCAGGCGGGGGGCAAGGACTCAGGTCCCCCAGCCTGGCCTCAGGTCCCCCATCAAGCCCCACCGGGCAGGGGGCAAAGGACTCAGGTCCCCCAGCCCGGCCTCAGGTCCCCTGGCCCTGGTTCGAGGGCGTGAGGGCGCGAGGGCATAGCGACCATTTGCATATTAGCTCTATTATATAGGATGCTCTCTCCACACCTCCCTGCAACAGAAGTCCTTTGGTTTGTTCGGACCCAGAATGTCAGAACATGGCTTCGCTGTTACAGCATGCAGGAGCGAGACCCAGAGGCCCTTCTCTGCTGTGCTTAAAAAAATGCCTGGGTACATTTTTCTTGCGTTTACACTCTCAGAAGATTTATATAGGAGAATTCTTTTTAACTCATGGAGCAGAGCTTACCTAGTATTTACAAATCAACCCTTGACCCAAAGCATAATGAAAATACCAATTTTCAGTTGGCAGGCCAAAAAAAGTTCTATTTTAGACAATCTTATTTTTTCCAAGTGTGCAACTGAGATTATGGTAGTTTCACATTTCTATAATCGATTTCTTTTTTACAGAGCGCCTGTTTAGAGCCTCAAAGTCAGAACACCCATTTTATTTTCATTGGATTCTTTTCTCTGAAAACTACAAATTACACTTATGTTATTTCCCAAACCCGCTTCCTTTCTTTTCTCCATTCCTGGGTTCTCAAGTGATTGCTCCATGTGGAGACCCGACAGTAGCTGGTGCTGTGGTGCTGGTTGAAGTCCATATGTTTAACCAGCTGTTTAACCAGGAACACAGTCCAACCTGGTGGTAACCAGACCTCAGATGTATCTGCAAATAACGTATCTCCCTCTCCCAGCGAGGCCTCCTCATCTGGCTTTCCATAGACAACGGGACTCGGGACAAGCAGGACACACCAACACTACATCATTTACAACATCTGAAAGTGAAAAATTGGAAGTTTTACCAATATCCTGTTTTTGTCATTCCACAGAACGTTTTTTTGTGTGTGTGGTTGCCTTTTCTACTTTTTCCCTTTTCTTTGAGACATTATTTTCAAATGTGCATTTTAGGGATACGATTGTGTAATATTGTGTTTCAGATTTGGAGGCTTTGTGGGTTGTTTCTAGAGACCCTGTCTTTTCAGCTAACTTCAGAATAGAAATGGAAATGCTGGAGAATCGAGATTAGAGCTGGGAGGCCAGGCCGATGCAGTTGGCCCTCAGCAGCCTTCGCCCCTGCACCCTCCGGGTGTCTGTTAGTTGTTTCTTATTTTCATCAGCATCTTCTGTGAGGGGTCAGGGGTCAGGGCACCTGGGCTCTCACCTGCCTTGTGATGAACCAGAGCGACCAGGGCCGGGTCGTGACTCCTTCCGGCCCCAGGCCCTCACTTGCAGAGTGGAGTGGTGTGTGCGCGTGCGCGCGTGTGTGTGTGTGTGTGTGTGTGCGCGTGTGCATGTACCTGTGTGCTTGTGAAGGACTTCGCTTAATGAGCTGCACGTGCACTTCTCTGTGACCCCGATAAGTATTTCTGGTTGTGCGTCTGAGCCTCACCCATCTGTGCTTCCAACGTTCCCTGATGTCCTTCCCTCATGTCCGTTTCCTATGTGTTTCCATTATATGTGGTTCCTGCCTGTGTTGGGGCTCGTTCATATGGATCAGTGGTTGCTATGAGGCGGATGGGTTGTAACTGCTTTACACTTTTAGCTCACTTATTCTTCACAACAACCCTCCAAGCTACATACCAGGGACGTGGGGCTGTCTTCTCTCTCTTTGCCTTTCACTATAAAATCGTATAAACGTTTTCTCATCACGGCTCTTCCTTTCCTCCAGGTGATTGTTCCCAGCGCCTGGCAGCTGGCCTTTCACTCTCTGAGGGCGTTAGCACCTCACTCAGGATCTCCGCCTGCAGGGCCACCTTCCCGCCTGTGCTCCCAGCTAGTCAGGCCTTTCTCCCTCCCCCACTGCAGAGGCACAGCTGACGCTCGGAGAGGGGCCTTGTCACCCAGCCTTTCCTCGAGTGTGGGAGGCACTTTCTGGCCAGGACATCTCTGGTGGCTTCGTTCTGTCTGCCTGGGATTCCAAATTGTATTTGTTCCCCAAGACCCTGAATAATGCTATTTTTTTCATGGAGCTCACCATCCATCTAACAAGAATCTTACAACCTAGACTTCATTCTGGGCATTTATTTTCTACCACATATTACAATTCCGCTCCCTTGGATTGAATAAGACAAGAGGTTTGAGCCGTTGGGGGAGACCTCCTCTGGCTGTTCAGCAAGGACAGGGGGAGGGAGGACAGAGGGAAGGGAGGGCTGCTGGTCAGGCTTGACACGGAAGCGAAGCTGCGCCTCCAGCAGCGAGTCCTGCAAAGGCCAGAGGGGTCCCTCCTGCTCTTCCCCTGGGAAGGGGGGCAGAGGCGCTCACGGCTCATTGTCATCATTTAGGGACACACCTGTGACAGTTCCCAAGTGGGAGCACGTAGCCCCTAAGAGAGACTAGGATACGCCGATGAGCTCATGTTCGGGTCGGAGGGGAGGAAGTGGTGGTTGGGGGCCTGGAATGAGCAGAAAGAACACATAGGGAAGTTCATTCCAGAATCATAATTTTTTTTAAAAGAAGAAGAATGCTTACAAAGGTCATCTGTAATGGAACCCTGACGGGCGAGGATGGCTGATGCTGACCAAGGCCGGGCTCCACTGCAGGAGACCAACACGCACCTAGTGACGCCTCCCCAGGGAGAGGCGGCCAACAGCCCGTCTTCGAGCTGAGGAAGCTGCGGCACAGAAGGCGGGTCATGGGCGAGTCCGATCGGGCAGGAGAACCTGGTGAATGACAACTGTAAAGCGAGGAGCTGGTGCTACAATAAATAAAAACAGTTAAATACTCTCAATAAATATAGAGTCGGAGTTTGCCACACAATACAGAATATGTTGTTCATGGGAATTAACCTAAACCAGAAAAAAATACACTTCAACGATTTAGAAAAAGGAGAATAATGTTTAAGCCCAAATTTAGCAGAAGGAAGGAGATAAAGTTCAGAACAGAAATTAAGAATAGAAAAACAATAAAAAGTTCAATAAAACTAAGAGTTGGTTTCTTGAAAAGATAAGCAAAATTGACAAACATTTAGCTAAACTAAGAAAAGACGCAAATAAAACTGTAAACAGAAGAGGAGGCATTGTAACCAGTAACCCCAGAGACCCGCACAGGGAGAGGCTGCTGCAAGCCAGGCCGACGGGCACTCCAGCCCGCCTGGCCCCGCCAGCCCTCACGCCGGAGGCTTCCCCTGTTTATTTTGGCCTAAAATCTCTTAAACGTTTAAAGTAAAAGCATTTTGTGCAATTGCACGGTGTTTTGGGAAGTGTGATGGGGGGACTCGAGGGGTGGGTTCCAGCTGTGCTTTGCCTCCTGTACTGAGACCTCGGACAGGTGGCCTCCCTGGGGACTCGGGGTGAGAGTGCCTCCGGGTCCCAGGCACCTGCGCTCAGTGGGAGCAGTTGCCCTTGCTCTGTCCTCTGGTCCCAGCACCGAAGCTGGCCTGGCTGGTGGTGAGCACCGGCCTGCGCCTCCCAGGAGCGCGACTTGCAGACTCAGCCTGGCCTTTGTCCTGGAGGCTTAGAGTGCCGCTGGCCATAGAAATTCCCTCCTGCTTTCGCGTGTTGTGTTGGAGCCCGGGAGCTGGTGTTTGCGGGGCAGCACGGTCCGTGCAGAGAGCCAAGAGGTGGCCAGGAAGCAAACCCTGTCCCTGAGCCATCTGCCTGTCGCCCTCCCGCAGGCCCGGGTGTCTGTGCCTCCTGCTGGGTCCAGGGAGGCCTCCTTGCTCCCGTTCCTCTTACGCAGTGTCTCCTGCTCCGGGCGCTCTGAGGGACGGCCCCTCCAGGGTCCCTGCCCACCCCTGTGCGCCCCCAGCCTTGCTGGTCTCGGGCTGAGCCATCGGGGCCTGCCCAGCCGGAGTGGAGGAGACTCAAGGCCTGGGAGCCTGGAGGAAGCAGTGTCTTTGGAGCCGTCTCTGAGGTGCATTAGGTCCTGTGACCTCCTGTTGCCATCCACCCCGGCCCCACCGTCTCCGGACCTGAGCCCTGGGGCCCTGCACCCCGGAACCGGCAGCCTGAGTGTGGGGCATCTGGGCTCGGTGGGGTCGAGGCCTGCAGCCTGGGTGGATGGAGAGGAAGGCAATTTAGGAGCTAAGGGAGGCTCCTTGCTGCGGCCTCTCCCCTTCAGCGTGACCTCTGGCCACAGCCACGGACAGAGAAACAGGGAAAGGCTCCCGAACAGCTTAGGAAGTGCTTGTCTGCGCCTGAGTGCAGGCCCCTCGGGAGTTGAGTGGGAAATAGGGATCCTGGGGCCTCCAGTGTTTGTGTGGGGGAGCGTGGGAGGACGGGATGGGATCAGATCTCCCCGGGGGCGGGGGTGGGGGGGCAGCTCTGTGCTCAGCTCCGTGTGTGCGACCCCATGTCCTGGGAGCTCCAGCGGGAGGGAATCCCACCGTGCGCTATGTCTGGAGCTCCCGCCCAGGAGGGACACGGAGCGGGTCGCCGGCGGGGACCAGTGCGGGCGGAGGGGGACAGGGCGGAAGAGAGCTGTGTCTTTAAGACCGTGCGGTGGTTATACGTACTTGTCTCTCCTGTGAATGGGTTTTGCTGTAAATTACAGCTCTGCCCCTGGTCCCTTGGGTCAGAAGAACTGGTCTCCAAACAGAAACCGCTCCGATTGGTGCCCTCCGCTTCCCTCCCAGCCCCTTCCTAATTGAAACCAAATGTGCGGCGTGCTGGATGCTGGGAGCCTGGCGCCGGCCCAGGAATCCTCAGAATGCGAGGTTTCTCGCAAAGGCATCTTGCATCAGCCCCGTGGATGTGCCGCCACGGCCGCCGGCTGAGCCTGAGCGGGCGGCCTTCACACCCCGCTCTGCTCTCCCTGCGGCCGGACCGGGACCACAGCTCCGTCCTCGGCCTCTGCCCGCAGCGCGCACTCCTGGATGAGCGTAAGTTCCGCATGTTTTTTCCTTTCCTTCGTTTTCTTTCTTTTCCGCAAACGAAAGCTCTGACTGTGCTTCTGGCGTCTCTGGAAGAGTTTACAGAGGAGGCCGGAGGCGTTTCTTCAGGTGGGGCCGGGGGCAGCGGGCGGCTCCCGGAACGCGGGCCTCCCTGCTCCAGGCGCTGGGCTCTGGTTCCAGGGAAGATCGATCGGCAGAGCTGCGCCGAGGGCCAGGCAGCCTGGGCGGTGGAGGCAGGCCTGGACGCGGAGCCCGGCGGGCGGGGGCGCTGGGCGGGAGCGGGGCTGGCACTGGCCTCTGAGGCCCCAGTTTGAGAGAGGATGTTCCCTGGTGCTTTGTTTTGGGGGCACCTCGGGCAGGGGGGGTGCCTCGCCCCGAGGTTCTGTGCGCGGGGCCTGCGTGGTCACGATGGGAAAGCCCGCTGCCGTCCTGGTCCCCGCGCCGGCCTGGCGACGCTGCCTTTGTCCCAGGACTTGGGGCTGTTTGCCTTGTTGGCTGTGGGACCTCTGAGTCGTGGCCGAGGCTCAAGAGTCCCATCGACAGGAAGGAGCCTGTCCAAGGGCGGACGCCGCCAGCCATTTCAGGCGGGAGCCCTGCCGGGCGGCGGGGCCTCAGCACCATTTTGCTGTCTGCCTGGCCGCAGCGCCCTCCCAGGAAGTCGGGGCCTGAAAGGCACTGGTGTCACCTGGCCTCGCCCGAGGCTGGGGGTGAGCTGGCCTGCGTGGGGCCTCCACTTCCCATCCCTCTGGCCCAGCTCCACGGAGCCACTGTGGGCAGCACGGTCGGACCCTGTCAGTGAGCAGGGTGCTGAGTACGTGGTGGGGCATGGTCTGTGGGTGCCCTGGGCTGTGTGTGGACACAAGACAGCGACCCCCAAGTGCTCACAGCACCCCAGGCCCTGCTCAGAGCTCCGCTGGCCACGGCTCCACCTTCTGCAGGGGGCGGCCCAGGAGGGTGAAGGGGGGAGCCGGGGGCCAGGTGCTTAAACGCAGTAGTAAGTCCGACAGCCGTGCTGCCCTTGTTGTCTGCGTTTTCTAGCGGCCAGGGCCAGCACAGCAGGTGTACAAATGATGCGATGTTGTCTGCCTGGGAAATGCTCACTCACCATTGTCTGGTCCCCATAGAAGAGCCTCGTCCTCTCGGGATGAGGACTCAGATCCGTGCCCGAGTCCCCAGCAGTGCGCCCGCCGCGCGGCTCTGAGAAGGCGCTGGGCGGCCTGGCCTGGCGGCGGCTCATTCTGGGGCTCCATGAGCGCCTCCGTCCTGCAGAGCCCGGGAGAGCCGCCGGTTCGGTGGGTGCCCCGGCGGGCACCCCTCCGGCCCCTGGTCTGTGCGGCTGGCAGCCACGCCTCCTGGTGCTGCTGCTCCAAGAGGTCCTGGACGTGGCCGCGCCTGAAGGCTCTGCAGGGCCTGCACCCCCAGTTCAGTGGGTGGTCATGTGAGCAGCCTCGGCCAGGAGGGGTGTGCCGGCCGGAGGGGGTGCGCTCGGGCGTGTGACTGACCGGGTGACCTGTCTCCGTGGCCACCTCCTTGATGGAAGCCGTCCCTGCTCACGGTCAGTGTCCCCAGGTTTCTATCTGAGCCCGTGGCTGGCGTGGCCAGGACCCCTCACCCTGCTGTGCCCGCGTCCCTGCGGGATCAGCCCTGGTTGCTCCTCTGCGTTTTCCCGACGCAGCGTCCACCGTGTCGCTTTGCGCAGCGGGGTCTGAGGCGCTGTCACCTCCAGTGTCTTTTGGGGAATTGTTGATATTTGGTTCCAAAAAGTATAGAAACAGCCGCGACGGGAAAGCGGGAGCCTTGCTGCCTGCCCCCCGCACGCTCGGCGCCCGGCGCTGGGTGGGGACGGCGCCGCCTGCGTCCAGGCCCCGGGGCCCCGAGGGAGGTGCAGCTCCCTGTGGTGGATGCACGGCGCTGGGTGGGCAGGTGACCGCGTGGGCGTCCAGACCACACCATTTCCTCGTCAGACCCTGGCACCCCCTGCCCTGCCACCACCCACTCTTCCCAAGGCAGGGGCTCCCCCTGGCCTCTCCCAGGCCCCGGAAGCAGATGAGAGCGGGGGCCCCTGAGTGTGTGCTCACCCCTGACTACCCAGGCACCCCCTTCTCACGAGTCAGCTCCTCAGGGCAGTCGGCCGCTGGGCACTGTGAGCACAAGCAGCCGTACCAGGTCTGCCCTCCGGCACGGGCACCTCCCCCCGCACGTGGGCACCTCCTCCACTGCCCATCTCTGCCCGCTGGGCCTCCGCCTTCGCTGGCATCACAGGCCCCTGGAGATCTGTAAACAGGCAGATCCAGGCGCCACCCCAGATGGCCCAGAAGGACGCGTGTGCCCGGTGACCAGGGCACCTGGACCGAGCCGCCTCCCTCGGTGACCTGGTGGGTGTCCTGCCTCCCGTGGGGGCCTGGAGGACCACACAGGGTTTTGTCTTCATCTCAAGGATGGACTCAGAGTGGAGAACGTGGCCTTGGGAAGGACGCGCCTCTGGCCAGAGCCTCGCAGCCCGGGGCCGGTGAGCAGGAGGCACAGGCCCGTCTGTCAGGGGACTTCCCGGGGCGGGGCCAGTCTCCCTTCCTGTCCCAAACGACGTGGCCAGAACTAGACAGGTTTACATGCCTGTGGCCAGAAGGAAGCTGTTTCACTCCGTCCGAGGTTAACGGGACTCACTCCTGTTTGGCAGCAGGTTCATAGTATCGACTAAGGCGGGGTGCCAACCCCACTTCTCAGACCCCCTGTTCCGCCTCGGGCTCCCTTCTACGCTCTGCTCCCCCACGCCCGGCTCCATCCTCAGACAGCCATGTTCTCCATGTTCAAAATCGCTCCTCTTTGCTTGTCCTGGGCTCTATCCTGGGTCACATGCCCCGTCATGTGCGGCTGGGGCTGCCCATTGCGCTGAGCTCTCACCATAACTCGGCTATGGAAATGGTCCCCTTCTCTGAGACAAAGTTATGTTTCCAGAGTCAGCTCAGTCTACGCCTGCCCCCCGGCCTCCCCTGAGCCCTCGGTGGGTGGCTCCTCTCACACCTGCAGGGCCGCTCTCCCTTGTGGAGCAGGGGACCCAGTGTCCCCGAGACCTTTTCGGGGAATCCACAGGTCACCGCTGTCTTCATAGCGGCACTAGATGCTCTGCCTCTCTCTCTCTCTCTCTCTCTCTCTCTCTCTCTCTGCCACGAGGTGACGTGACATTCACTCTCGCAGCAAATTGAATCCAGAAGCAGCAGAGACTCCTGTGTCCCAGTGCCACCCTTCTTGCTAAAAACTTCTGAAAAGACGTATTTTTAGAAAAAGTCATTATTTATGTTACCACGCAATTGTCATTTCACTGATTCGTAAATGACGAGCTCACAGTCCTCGTGTCTTCTGAGTTGATGGACGTCATGAGCAGCTTCTGGACAGCCTGTGGCCCGGAGGGTGTGGGGTCAAGAGGGGAAGAAAAGGGGACTGAGGCTGGGTCGTCCACTTGCTCTCCACACATCTCGGGCCCAGGGCCGCACCCCAGTTAGAGGTCAGTTCTGGGGTCCCGGCTCAGGGGGATGCCCGGCCCCACAGGGCGCGGGATGCGGGACCTTTCCCATCCCCTCAGGACCTGCCCGGACCTCTGGTTCCCGCATCCATCCGGGTCTCTGCTGACATTGCCATGTTATTTATTTAAAATGCATCTTACACAACAGCTGCCGGTGATTTGGGGGAAACACTGAACGGAACCACTACCAGCAGCATGACCGCCAGAGCCCGCGAGAGGGTCGGAGGCCTCAGTACTAGGGGGCCTGGTCCGCGGCGGCTCCTGCAGATGGATACACCCCCCATCTCCCTGTCTCCATGGCGGCGGCAGGTCAGCAGGTCGGTCTGGGTCTGGGACTGTCAGTCAGCGGGCCCCGCGTGCAGTGCTGGGACTGTAGGTCAGCGGGCCCCGTGTCCAGTGCTGGGACTGTCGGTCAGCGGGCCCCGC